GGGCCTTTCTTGTCGGTTTTTCCACGCAGCGTTGAAGTCCCAAGCGCTCCTGTTCACCTGAACGCGCTCAGATACAGGGAATAAAGGCCTCCTTCCAGGGGCTACGCTGCCCATTTTGCATCATTTTGCCTAACTCACCGGTAAGGACGGAGGACTCTTCTTTTTAACCCTTGCTGTTGCAAAGTGCTCCTGCGCCCCGACCCATCAGAGAGAGCTGAATAGTTATCAAGCAAAGTAGCATCTCTACAAAGCTCACTGGCATTTTTTTACAAGATTTTGGACATGTTGAGCAGAAAAGACTTCCCCCTCAGGCCTCCTGAAAGCTCAGCGAAGATGGTACTTTGGGCCATGCAAGAAGAAATTCCACATCCCTTGGGAATACAGCTGCTAACTACACAAAATCAAGCACGACTATATTCGAACCCACTTATTAAATCCCTGTATCAAACTCCATTTCCTTACCTCGAAACAGGCGAAAGAAAAAACAGATTGTCTCAGGGAGATTCTTTAATGACTGCCTTCAAAACTAAACAAAACAAAACAGAAAACCCACACATGAAGTCAAGAAAAAATAGCCAAGCCATTTAAATGCTCCTTATTGACAGGCCCACGAACAGAGGAGTGGGCTGATTAGAATATGGCTCTAATGGATGTGCACTTATTTAAAAGAAAGCTGACATTATTGAAATAACACACTTTTCCATAGAAGCCACTATAAACTAAATGACCTTGAAAAGACATAGTGATTGCTACCACACATGCAAGATATATTATCGCCAAAGCTAAGTCCTGATTACCTAAGATATACCAGCCAGACTGGAACATTAAGAACTGGGATGAGCGCTAAGATAAGACGTTAGAATCAGTAAGATGAATGAGCAAATAAAAAGCTCTGTTTGTCGGGGCAAAAGTATTATTTTGAGCATGAGAAATCAAATTTCGCATTTCAGAAAAAAAGCACACTGTAGCCTCTCTGAAAAGCTGAAGCCGGCTTCAAATTGAGCATTGGACTTTCAGGGGGAAGCGCACCTAAGAAGCCATCAGTGATTATCAGCCAAAATAGTCTGTTGGCATTTGCTTAGCCTGCAAGTTCCTTGGGGGCGGCACAGTGCAATAGCTTTGTTCATACAACGCAACAGCTTTGCCGTGACGGAGACCCTGTCCTCGAGCCGGCTCTCCAACTACTACAAGAGCTACTACGACAAGGGTAAAAATTGAAAGTGAGTAGACACCACAAGTAACCAGAATCATCACACTCATACATATATGCAGATTATGCAGATGATCTTGCCAAGGGATTATTCTCCCATGAAGACGAGGTTTAGATCTTGCTACCCAAGACGAGAATTATATGCTACGCACATAAAAAGAACAACTTTGAAAACACAGGAAAAAGGACAGAAATGATGCTTCCTGTGAAAAGGAAGTCCATTTAAAGCACAAATAAATTGATGCAGTCAGGAGAAAGAAGCTTGTATATGTAAATAGAGGTTTATTACCCATTTTTATGCTTCTAAGAAACATAATTTACTGACCCTTGAGAGAAGGGTCAAGTAGGCTTATGAAAAAAGAGACAAAGACATATTTTTTGGCAACTGCCATGTTCCAGAGTAGTAATTATCTTTCCCTCTCTCTGTGCGCGACAGGAAATGACGAGGGGTGCCATTACACTATGAGAATTACTGTAATTTTAATTTCTAAAAATTGCCAAGAAAATTTCCTCTTTAAAAAAAAAAAAAGTTTGTCCAGATTTTTGGAGTGGTTTAAAACTCATTTCTCAGCTCAAACAGAGCTGTGCTTTTCCTTCTTAATTTTGGGGGATTTAGGGGAACTGGTCACAGAGTTGGTGTAATAAGAAGGTCCATCCTCCTCCTCAGTAACCGAAAGAGTTAAAGGCTAAGTGTGGTCACTGAGGATCCGGGAAGTGTCACTGATGCAGTACAGATGCACAAACTGGGCTTTCCATGTTAGGTGGTTCAACAGGGCTCGATCCTTAGGAGCTCTCAGCTTTTCAAGCTAGACTCCTGTTGGGTTTAAGATCACCTGAACTTAGTTGTTTGTGGGCATAACAACACACTCTTTTAATGGGAAGGAGATGACGTTAGATGCACAACGAATAAAATAAAAATAGGATCCCTTACACTTGAAGGGCTTATCAGCTATCTTCTGCTGATTTCCTCCAGGCTACCATTTCTTATAATATTATGGCCAATCTATACTGTGCTATACAATATTATCATGTCGTCATATTTTATGATACCCAGCTGTTGACCTACAGGATGAACACAGGCCAAGAGGACAACTCTGTCCAGATGTCCAACCTTCCCTACTGTGGACTGCATTATCCCAGGCCGGCTCTGAGTCACTGCTGTGGCTGCTGGGGACAGGCAACGCTGGATACACACCGTCTCCCAAACCCAGTTGTACGCGTGGGAGGAGGACAGCTGCTTTGCAGCAAGGTACATCCACACAGGGGGAGAAAGCAGGGTAATGTATGCATGTTCCAGTATGCCACAATTCACAGTTAACAATGATCATTTAGATTAGTAAAAATACATCTTGCAATATATACAGTAACACGCACCTGCAGAACTGAATCTTTCTGTCTACACACAAATACATGCATGCAAACATATAGTTGATTAAGAATTTATACAACTTCAGGCTGCGAGGAATTTTGGATCAATGTCTTCAGTTTACCTTTATAAATAAATAAATAAACCCAATTAAACGTTACTTACATCAAAGCAGAACGGTCAGGAGATGAATTCTCCTGAAGTTCCACTTTTCAATTTTTACTTATTATTTGGTACTAGGGAATTAATTACTTCCCAAAATAAACATATTATAACTGTGTTACCAAACACCCCACCTCTCCCACCCACCAATACAAGAGAAGAATTTAGGGACACACATAAATAAAATAAAACAAAGCCCTGCATTCAAGCAGCATTTGAATCAAGACTGCATGTGCACCAAAGGCAAGTAGTTCACAGTGTGGTCTCACAACCTTCATAAATCAGGTGCCCTGAACATATGTAGTATTTTGCATTACTGTATAGGGTGTTAACTTTAATGACCTAATACATAGCAGTGTGGTCCAGCTACAGCTGCTGGGGGAACTATTATTTCGAATGTCCTGACCAATCTGCAGCTGGTCAATGGCCACATCATGTGGCATAGCCACGGCCATGCCACCACGCGGTTGTCCTGGTCGGATCAGAGCTGTTTCCACCTCTGCAGTCCACTCTACTGCTGTCTAACAAAATTGGTTAAAAATACAAGAAGCAGTGTAATATACGTGCTGTAAAAATCACAGCGCATCAGCTGGGTTGCTCTTCTAACGAAGGGAGAAAACCCACCCAAGTTGTTTCAGCCTTCCAGGATGGGGTGGGTTGCCATTTAGAGATCCCTCTGTCTCCCTGCTGATTGCAGAAGGAGCACAGACAACTCGCTTCAAGACACTTCTGGATGCTAGACGCACAAAATAACTCCACACTTCTGAGCTCAACCATTACAATTAATAAATGTTTGGCTTTAGTGGGATTTGGCTGAGATTCAAGAATATGCCACTCATGACCATACAAATACCCACATCCAGCACTGATCACCAGCTGCTGGGTGAAAATAAGCTCTAAGCTATAAGATTGCCATGAATGCATAACCGAAAAGCAACATTTGTGCACAGTCATTCCAAGGTGCCAATGGGAACACTTGATAAGCTGAAAAGAATACATTAGCACTTTGGCACACAAAGGCCTTAGTTTCACTGACCTAAAATTAACTAAGCGACAAGGTCTGATGCAGAATCATAGCTCTTTGAGGCTCATCTAATATTAAAGCTCCGGTCTATTGATTTGCCCTAATTGTAGGGTCTTCCATGACTTCATTCCACCCTTCCTTACCAAGAAGCAGGAAAGTGACAAGGAAACAATTTGTTCCTATATACAAGTCAAAGAGGATTTAGTAAACCAGGTGGCATGATAAATGAGGGAATGAAGATTCATGGAAAAGCAGAAAATCTGCTAACTGCCCCTCACAAGAAAACGCAGCGTTATCAAGAATAATCACAGAAATTAAACATAAGGTTCTGTTTCGTGGTGCTGTGATATCAGCTGAAGATACCTGAAAGCTGTTTTGCATGTAGGATATGAAAGGCCAACCTAATCTCTGGTGGATTCACACTACAGCTAATTAATATCTTGGCATCAAACCTCTCATTAAAATCTGTGGAGAGTTCATATACATACACCCATTCATATAGGTATACGTGCACATTTTATACATGTGTATACACACATCTGTGTATACATGGATACATCTCCCCTTATACTCTTATTCATGTTATATATATACCCAGACACATACTCATTTAATCATGCTTCATAAATATATAATTACATACACATGCATGCACATACCCATCTAAATATATGCATACAATGTATATTACATATAGAATTACACATACATATAAAATTTATTAAGAAGGTTCCTAAAATGGGTAAAAAGAGAAAAATAACAACTCTTTTTGCTTATGTAGATGACTGTTAACTACTGCGTAACGTAGATGAAGGATGCAGAATACATGATCCCTCTTAAAACAGAGGACAGATTTGATAAAAAAACCTCCCTCACTTCCTTTTAAGAAATTGCACTTAGAGAGCCATTTCTCTTAGACTATGAGTGCTGCTCCCCAAGAGGGGGGTGCGAAGACCGTTCTGTGCTGCATTCCCGAGTAGACAATACCCAAGGAAAGGCACACCATGAAGAGCAGTTCCGTGGGAACGGAAAACAAAGAGAATAATCAGACAGGTCTTTTTCCCTGAGTTCTGTATCTTCTGCCGCCAAAAGTGTCATACGCTATTATTTGAAACACAAAACAGCCCCACCGGCTTTAGTGCGGGACACAGTCTTCACAATTATTAGTGGAGTTTGATGATAGACCTTTTTCAGCAGTGTATTTACTCGGCTATACACACAGACGCACATGAACGTACCTGTTTGCTACTTCTCTGCGCAGTAGGAAGTAAAGCTTTGGATTTCTCTGCTATTTTCTGCCAAAAGAAAAAAGAAGGAAAATTACTGAGAAAACAGAGTCCAAATATTTAGGGAAACAGCCATAAGGAAGTTATTTCTTCTGCTTTTTAAAGGAACAAAAAAAACTCTATTATTTGGAAGAAAAGGAGTAAAACCGCACTGAAAAGTTTGGTCTTGCGGGAATTAAAACTCTTCAACGCTTCCCAAATGACAAGGTTATCAAAATTGAAAGAGGCATTTAAGAAATGACAGCTAGGACGTGGATAAGTAGCAATTTACCACTCAGATTGGTTTCCTGACGCAACCGGGCATTCACAAAATGCAGTGGCTAATTTTGGCACTTCTGTACTGATGATGGTTTAAAAAAAAACTTAAAGAAACAAAAACGTAAAACATGTACCGTTCAGATAAATTGCACAGGAGTTTAAAAAAGGTGTGCGTACATGGGGGTGGAGCGCTTTACCCGGAGCCTTCCAAACTCTCATTTAATGGGATAAAGTCGTTTCATTTAATCCTCCATACTTGGGCTCTTGAACAGGGCAGCGAAGTATTAAAAAGAAGAGATGACTGTACAGATAGCACAAAGCTATTATACAATATACATGCTGTTGAAGTGCAATTTAAAGCTTTTTTTTTGTTGTTTTTTGTTTTAAACTATAGCCAGAAAGTGTTGGGAAATTAAACAGTACAGACTGGTGCTAATAAAATATAAGGTGCATGTTGCCATCCAAATTTCATTACACCCGTATAATCCTAGTGTATTCTTCCCATATGTTGCAGGCATGTGTCACGCTCACTGGAGCAGTGTAAAGAAAGCAATCAGAGTTTGCCCATGTTGTATTTAAACAGGATTAGATTGATCCTGATGTATATACAAACAAATCTGATACATGTACACAACACCGCATGAGAGAGAAGCAGTTTGGCATCGGAAAATTTACATCATTCCTACGGCATTTAAAAGGAAAGCAAATCTGCTCCTCAACTGTCTCTCCCTAGGATAAAAAGTGAGTGAAGAAGAAAAAAGAAAGAGCTGGATTTCAGGCTTTGTTTGTTTTATTAAATAGCTTTTCCTCAGTGACAGGTCTAACCCAAAAGATGAGTTTGGAAACCTTAGAGCAAGGCCATATACCATAGCAGAGCCATAAGGTGGGTTAAATGTAAGAGTGATGTTGGCTGCGTATTTCTTGTAAACAGACGTATTTCTTGTAAACAGAAAAGGGGTGAGGGGACACTGTGCAATTCCTCTCCCGTCTCTCCAGAAAGTGGAGACGCACCAAACTGACGTCATGGCCATGCCATGGCTACTTCTGAATGTCCACCCGACCCACAGCCAGCAAATGCACTTTTTGCCCCCCTACTGCTGTTGAATCATTCTGCAGTTGCATGTGTGTGCATATTCCAGTGTAATCATACCCTGCTTGGCTGATAATATAAGAAAAGAGGGAAGGACTACACGTGGGAAGGTCTGTGGAGATGGTCCACACTCCTGAGAAGTCCATTTGCGCCCGCTCAAAATGTTCCCAAATTGACGCACTAAAGCTTGCAAGCGGGAGAGCCCCTCACCTTCTGTACAGCCCCATATCGCTGGATGGCATCAGACAGCTGGTTCTTCAACCTGTCCAGCTGAAGTCGCTCTTGCTGTATTGGAAAGACAATGGTGAATACAACTGTGTTAGCAGGTCTGTAAGGATAAATCAAGTAGCAACATGTTCTGCTTGTCTATGACCAGGGGTAACAGCCCTCACTGGAGACAACACATAAACAAGGTGGGCACAACTGGTATTAAAAAAAAAAAAAAAAAAAATCAGTTTCACTGAGGCTACCAGGATGCCACAAGGTTTTATTTTATCAAGGGAGCACAAGATGCTTTGCACTTTCAGGCAAAAACAACTCCAAAAATACCGTCTTAGTTATTGAGTGTAACGCTCAAGTCATGGCTACAGTGTAGTTTACCACCTAAGCTGGACACTCTCCTTGGCAGGGATATAAACTGGGACATGTTTCTGTCCTGCCCACTTCATGAAGGGGATCTCACTCCAATACCAGTTCCTAAAGGCATGTGAAACACAAGCAAGTAAAGACCTTACCGTCATCAAAAGAACGAAATGGTTGCAGTGTGGCATCCTGCTTCTACTTAACAAATGCCAGGCTTGGTCTACCTGCATTTAAAGCAGGATACGATAACCTTAGAACACCCTCCTATCAAAAGTCCTTTGCTTAGATGATACGACATGATGGAGTTCATCATCTGGTTTGATGCTAATGGGTAGTTTATTGAACTTGAGAGGTTGAAGCCCACTGCATCCCCCACAAAAATCTTATTCTCACTGGCCTTGGGGCTGCAACAGCTCTTATCAGAATCCAACTTATCTGTTTTCCAAAGTATGTACCCGAAATGGAAAGCCTTCCTCTCTGGAGCTGGCTCCAGCAAGATATTGATCTATGTTCAATCCAAGTCGTATTTAAAGGGGATATACTGAAAATATCCACCAACTCCTGCAGGCCCTGCAGAGCCCCCCACTCTTGTGACAACCTGTCATTAGGAAGGCTGGATTCTTCCCAACACATGTTCCATTACAGAGAAAAGATGTTTATCGTATTTATATCAAGTAAAGGATAATTACTGCAGCAGTAGCCCCACCAGTGGATGCAATAACAGACTAATAAAGGTAGAAATATTATTATTATACTTCTCTTATAGCAATAAATGGGATTCTATTTCTAACTTTTATTGAGCAAGGAGGAAAAATCCATCTGCCCTCCTTTTTGACTGCATTAACAACACCAGGAACTTCCATTAAATATACATCAAGAAGCTTTGAGACCTTTGGCAACTGGTACGCCATCAGGCTGGCACAACAGACCAATGCAGCAGGGATCTGATGTTTCCGTATGGGAAAGTTCAAATTGGAAAGCAACTGAGAGTTAGGATATGATGTGTAGCTGGATCCTGCAGTCGTTAAACTATGAGACAGAGGATTGAATGAAAGTTCAATGGTTTAACATCTATCTCCAGGGGATTTTTCTCCTTGTAGCAAAGCTATTCAAAAGTTCTTTAGTTTGAGTATTTGAATACGTTACCCTTCTGACGTCAATTATTTGGGGTAAGGAGTGTTTCAACCCTAAATTGACATGAGACATCTGGACACATTGCATCTGTGCTTCTGAACAGGGCACTATCAGGTATTAAAATACAAACCAATAAAATGTCACAACCGAAAGGCACTGCTGAGCAAAAGTGAGATCCACCACAACCACCTAAGAATCCCAGCTTTGTAATAGCCTATGCCACTACTTTACGTCAAAATCATTTTTTGTTGCATTATTTCCACTAATCGCTCTCATTGGAATCTGGTTTCCATCTCTTCCCCAATCCCTGTCTTATTCCAATCAATGGGATTTTTGTCAGGGGTTTTAGTGGGAGTAGAATTAGTTCTTACAATTAATATGTTTATAACTAAATGGACATTTTAAACCAATGTGTTCTCAGAAGAAACACTCCAGTCAAGCCTGTACATAACCATCTGGCGTGCCACAAAATCACTGCTTTTAGATAAAGGGATCAAACCTCAACTGTGGAGTGGATAGGGCCAGCATCTAGGAAACGGAAATTCTCTTGGCGCTTTCACCTCCTGGATCGCAGAGTTCAAGCATGTATGAGCTCAAATGTCCAAGTTTGCAGAGGGGAATGAGCTGAGAGGAAGTGGGCATTACTTTAAAAATCAAGGAAGCAAACAAAACTCAGTGAATCTATGCCAAAGCAACTACTCCAAAAGGTTAAGTAACTTTGAAGCAATTTCAGCTGTTGCAGACAACTGCTTAAGAACAAAAAAATGTACATTTATAAAGGATGGGATAAGCCTCTCTAGTTTTTAATGGTAGTATTTAAATATAGAAGAATATTCCAGTCTTACAGATCTTCATCCAAAGACGAAAAATCATTTTTAGAATAGGGTAATTATCATTATTCCTGTTCTACAGATAATATAAACTTTATGTTGGTTACACATGCAGAATAAGACAAGACCGTTTCCAGATAATATAAACTTTATGTTGGTTACACATGTAGAATAAGACAAGACCGTTTCCTTGGAGAGTTGATCTAATGGTCCAACGCTCGTCCTATAAAAACTTGCCCTTTCTATTTAAGCCCTTTGAGGTTAGTTTGAAATGAAATCCTAGTATAACTATGTGTTATTTTACATCAGTCTCCTGCCTTGTGTCACATTGGTCCACTTAACATCAGTATCTTTATCCTGAAATACTATCAGTTTGCCCAGGTGGACATCCTGACTCCAACAGTTCTAGTAGCACCTAAATCGTCAAGGGAAGTCAGAGAAATTCCCACAGTGCACCTTGCTGGCTGTGCGTTACGGCTGGAAAATAAGAAAAAAAAAAAAACGACTTTTCTTCTGTATGTGCATGCAGAGCAATACACAGAATAATGGATCGGAAAGAACTGACTATAAAGCTCTAAATTAATGGAAGGCTTTTCATGCTGTGAGAAATTTTATGGGAGGAAAGTTTGGAATGTTACCCAGATCCCCAAGAGGGACTGACAGACCCAGCAGCCAAACCCCACCAGAACCATTTATTCTATATAAGGGAGAAGGGTGACAGGCTTTCTATCAAAATTTGTAGGTTTAATTATTTAAGCTGCACACTGTTAGAAAAGTTAAAAAAAAAAATAAAATCGGTTAAATTAATTGACCAGGCAGCAGAAAAAGTTATTATGTGATGCCAATAGAGAGCTGCAAGTTTATATTCATATTACCATAACTGTTTGTGTACCTATTTCCTTCAGCTCTTAAATATATTCTCTTTAACTTAGCAATTTTTCTCCCCTTGACAATAAAAGCAATTCTGCTGACAGTTCCCACTGGACACCACATGGGCTTCAAGGGCTAATAATGACATGTGTGTGTGGCGCTATAATTGGTTTTCACATGACCTTGCCTGATTCTCCTCTAGACCCAATTTAGGTCACAAAAGGCATCCAGGAGATCAGCACAAAACAGCCAGATCGACATATCGTCACAAAGGCAACTTCCGCTTCACAGAGCTCCAACGTAACTCTGCCACCTCTGTACCCTGTAGCCATCAAAACTCACACAGGAGTTTTCACGTCTTCATGCTGCCCTCTCGTTACTACTTGGATTAGGTAAGAAAAAGGAAAAAAAAGTAGTGTTTGCAGCCCATCACAAATCAAACTATCATGTTAAGGAAGACTTAAAGTGTTAAAACTGATGCCTACTCATGGAGAGCAGTCACTGCAGGCTTCACTTCAAGAGATGGGATTGTGGTCGAGTAAATGTTCAAAAACCTGATCTGCTCTGGCCGCACCCGGTAAGTATCTGTCTCCACCGTGGCCTTCCAGCAAGTGTATAGCACTGAATGAATGCCACATCCCAATATATTCTAATACTTTGCCCTGTACAGATACTTAAACACATTTCCTAACTCATCTGCACCCAGTGCACCCATTGTGCAGTAGAGTCTCTAACCAATGCCAAATTCATGTATAACCCGAAGATTTCTTTAGTACTTTCACCTAAGCTGCATGATACCCCGAGTAGGTACAGTGTGAGCTAGTCAAGGTTTTTTACTGAGCTGTTGACTTCTAGCTCCAGAAGATCCAGCTTTGGGAGACGAATTGGTTCCTGCAGTTGTTTTTCCAGTGGTGACTTACGAATACAAGCTGTGTTTTCCGTTGCATAACGAGAAAGCAAATTATAACAAGACATGGAGCTCAACAGCCTTAAAGCACCCACTCCCCACTTCCTTTTCTCATTATTACTCCCTCTGTAGGACTCAGCACTTTTGTCCAAAAGTATCTTGAATGACACATACCCTGGATGAGCCTCTGACAACCTCAGACAGCTGCTTGATGGCTTTGGTGCTAGTCGTGATGGTTTTATTAGTCTCTTGCTGTGTTGCGTGCCTGCAGAAAAGGAGAGATGAGGGGAATTGCGATTGAAATTAACTGCTTAATGAGACACTTAAAGTAACTTTTTCAAACCACAGAACAGTTGAGACAACAGGACTCAAACCACATCCAACGACAGTAAGGCTTTCACTAGGAAGGGGCTTTCAGCAGCAATGGCAACCAGAAGGCTGCAGGAAATGCTAGCCAGGAGTGGCCTAAAATCTCTCTCCTGTGTTCAGCACGGAATGATAGCTGTGGACCTGCAAAACCAGTCGTGGTAGACAAGGCAAAAATATGGGGTAGGCAGGTAGCCAGGCCATCATGGACTTGTGGTATTGCAACTAATAATGTTGAAAGAAAAATGGGGATGTATAGTAAAAAAAAAAATGCAACCAGGGAGCTATGTGATGGTTCTGCCCAGGGGTTTTTGAGAGAAATTCCAAAAGGCGGAAGTTGAGTAGGACAAATCTAGTTTTCCTGACTTACCATGGTCAAATCCCTGCTAATGACTCAGTAACTCTGAGGAAATAGTGTCAGTCCGAAGATGCGAGTGTCACATTCAAAGCCCTGAAACATGCAGTCAGGAAGCCAAACCAGTCAAATGTCCTCTCACGGTTTTACCTTTATTATACACCATTAATTCCATTATCATTATTTCTTGCAAGTACTGGTTGCCAGCATCTTTGTTTAGGACCACTCAAATTAGTGGGAGAGACACAAACTCTTTCAGCTCAGACAAGTGGTTCCCAAGCTTTGTAAGGTCAACAGAGCATTTTCAGTCTCCAAACATCTCCAAGGAGCACTTCACACCACGCTGTTCAGAAAGGAGTACCTTTTCCATTATGTTTCAGTCAAAAACTCTACAAAGGCTCAAGAAACATCTGGAGAGAAGGATCTTTTTTCCTCCTTGAGTGCCACATTTGAGCCATGGAGGTACTGAAAAGACACATTTGTTAGCTGCTCTTTTTCAGGGTAGGCAGGATGTGAAGGGAATGGACAGTTTTTGATTATAAAATGTTAAGACGACTCTTTATGGCTCCTCTGCCTCCAAGACCCATACTGTGTCCCAGCCCTTTAGCCCCTTTCTGCTGTTTTGTCAGGACTGACAGAGGCCTACTCTTTCAAGACTTATGCCAACTCTTCCAGCGCCTCCCTTTAGGACCTCCCTCCCAGCCCCAAAACACAGTCTTTACTATAACCTTGACTATAAATAAACTGAGACCTTCCTCTCAGCACGTATTCCACTGACAGGCATTTTCACCTGGTCACAGCAGCTTCGTCCTTCTGTCTGGTTACTAAAGTGGCCAAACCTTACTGACCAATGAGCCCTGGGTTTCTGATCATGCTAGACCCTTATCCTTTCCTTCTATCTCTTGAATCCTTCTCTGAAAAGCATATAAAGAAGGGAATGTCACAGAGAGAGACTCTCAGATGATTCCCTGTCCTAAATCCTCTCAACCCCTGAAGAGATCCCATGAATGTCTCCTCATCTGCCATCTACTAACCCTCACACTGACACTCCTGTAACGCTTCGCCCTGTGCATGGCCCCCAAAAGCACAAGCTACAGTTCTTCACATGCCATAGACACCATGAACTGCAAGGTTCACCCCCACAGCAAGTTTGGCAGCTTTTATCCACTTAAGCAAGATCTTTACACAGACAGCACAGGTGGGAAAGCTGTCCGAGGTAAAAGTAGAGTAATTGTACCTAACAGGTATACAAATGAAAGCTTAGCGTACCTTGAATGTAACATCTCCTGAGCTGCAGAACAGTAATTTGGATGTACGCTAAGGACTGAACAAGCAAATAGAAGACATGGACTACTTTTGTCACCGTACAGGAAACAGAAACAAATATGGAGAGAAGATTGGATCAGTAACGAGTTATTCCGAGCTCTCCTTACCTAAATGAAGATTCCACTTGTTTATTTATTCACCAAAAGGAATTTCATTATTAATGATCCTAGGACCCGCTGCACTAGCTGATAAAATGCGTCACTTCTACTTGAAGATATAAGAGGTCTTATCTACCAGAGAGAGAGAGACAGGTACTCCATACTCTCATCGCAAGACAGAAAACTGGGAATCGAATTCTGCCACATCATCTACCTTCAAGACTACACATTTGGTCTCATCCCATATCTTTTAATTGAACAAATCTGGCCCCTGAGTGCAAGAATTCCACAAGAAGCCGTTTCAAGGCTGAGCCTTCCACAGCTAGTTCCTTTTAACGCCATGCAAGACACCGGCGTTGACGTCCAGTCATTCGGCAGACCTCATTAAATTATCTGCCTGAAGAACAAGTCAGGGATTCACGTTCCCACAATCCCCCATCCCCAAAGCAAAATGGCTGGTCAGACTTATGCATCAGAGCCTTTTCAATTTCTAAAGCTAAATAAAGTCTCCTTCATTTGTATTCTAAAGTCAATTTGATGCTACATAGCCTAAGGAAAAAATCCATGCCTTACACAAGCTTTGCCCTGATTTGCTTCAACAAAGGAAGTGGGGTTACAAGAAATAATGCACTTTAACCAACACCCTGGTGCTTGATTTTGGCACTTCCCAGCATGCTATCGGCACAATTACCTTCTTATTCTTCAGCCTCAGAGACACACTCAGAAATCAGACAGTGATTATATTTAATTTAATTTACTTTAAATGCTATTAAGATCTTCATTAAAAGTAGAGGCCTTGAGACTCCACTCGCTGCAGCATTTTCTTTTAATATGTAATAATAATAAGGCACGTCGTTGTTGTTGTTATCATTATTATCAGTATTATTATTAGCTTTCTCTGTATTCCTCTCCCCATGAAAGAGTGGCGATTAACTAAAGGGGTGTCTCTGACGAACAAAATTTAACGCTGAGAAAAGCCTTCCACAAAATAATAAGTTAAATAACCTATAGAGATGCAACGTACCTAAAATAGAGACGTCGTAAAACACTTAACCTGGCTACACTGCAACTCTGAAAATAAGCACACTAAGAAAAAATAAGTAAATAAAAAGGGCACCTGTTAGGCAGAATAACACCTCTTGCTGTGCATTTCTGTATATACCAAGATTGCAAAGACGATGCACTAAATAATACAAGAAATGCCGTACCGCCGCCTAAGAGTTTTCTACAGCTGCTATTTTCTGTATCAGAGAACTACGGTCCACTGAGTCCGTAAGCCCCGGGGCGCGCAGCTGCTCACGGCTTTGCTCTTGCAACCATCGTATCTGTAATTTATTCACCCAGTTGCAGAATGAGTGCAGCAAAGAGGAGGCCGCAGCGGCTGCTGTTTCACTTCTCTGCAGGATCGGGTGCAGTAGCTTACTTACAGTTTGCGCCGTTCTTCGAGACTCTTGGTGAACGACCAAGTCAAAAAAACAAAAAAAAATCAGCCCCCCCCCAAAAATATAACCCACAAAGACCGACAGCGGGAAGACTTCTCTCCGTCTCGCCGTGCCTGCGTTCAGCATAATCCTAAAGCGGGTTGTGCTCCGCTTGCAGCAGGTGAAAGGCATTTACAATGTACGATATGGCTCATTTCACTCTGCCCTGAGCCCCGAGAGAAGGGCAATAACAAGTTTGTCAGGTGCAGATCGAGAACACCTTTACTGCCCTAGCTTAAACTGCACTAGATTTAGCATCCCATTTGGCACAACGGAAGAGCAACGGAGTACTTTCATACATGTAAGGAGCGGGTGGTCAAGTAGGTTTGGCTATAATTAAGCCAGGTTGCCTACTCTCCCTTAAACGGTGCACTTACTTTTTAACGCAGCAGCTGCTTAACGCTCACTGCAGTTTTCTTTTACCGAAAGAGGTAAAAATTACATTATATGAAGCAGAGCGCTGAGCCGCACGATCTCTGGCTCAGGCAGATATAGGCTGCATATCGGCATCTACGTGTCTTCCATAGTCGTCGGAGGCATAAATACGTCCAGGGCGCATGGAGCATGCGTAAGGAAATTATTCACACCCTAAGACTTCAGCCGTTCTCTTAGAGCTGCTTTTTGTGAAGGGCTGAAGCCTGGTAAACTACACACGTACGTATATTAAACTTGATGTAAGGACCTCAGAGACAGCCGCGGACTAGCAAGGGGTATTTGCAGCAGCTGAGGCTCAGACTCCCCCTTTCTTAGGTGTCTCCTAAGCGGCCCAACTCATCCTCGAATAGAGCGGAGGGTATTTCCAGAAGTGGGAAATCTGGGTTGCACTCGCACCGCTCAGATAAAAAGCAGCAAACGGCGGTGACGGTCCCCTGGCCCTGCCGGCTGTGCTTTGGCGCCCGGGGAGGGATTAAAGCAGCGGGCGCCTGTTGTCTCCCAGCGTTTACTGCAGGTGTAAAGAAAGCAGAAGGATGAGCGAGGAGAAAAGGTTGGCTTGCCCAGCCTTAAACTCTCTTTACTGTATCGTTAAAGTCGCCTTAAGGAAGGAAAGGTAAATCTGCTCCAAACCGACACAACTTCTTGGGGCTTTTCTTTTTGAGGGTCTGATTTCGCCCGCCGGGGAAGGTTTCGCACCCGTGCAAAACGAGAGCTGCAATTCCAGCCTGTCGGCAATGCTCTTTGCATAGGTGTAAATCATCCCGCAGGGAGAAAAACGGACCACTACTTCCCAGTTTCAAGCTGCACGCTGTATTATATAATAAAAGTATCATAGATTTCCAATTTGCCTGTCACCGGGAACGTATTAGGAGATGTGGCGCTATTTGTCTGTAGGCAGCGAAGGGGATGGTATGCGGCTGCGTGGGAAGAGAAGGGTAGGTGTTTTAAATCCACCTGGCACCGGTGCTGTGTCATCTCTGGAGACGAGCACGGTTTTAGGTGAACAGCTGCACTGTTCAGCAATTTCGGATTAAAATATACGAGTTCCAGCCAGACAGCAGCCCTCAAAACGTACAATTTCATCACTGCAATGCAACCAGGGCAATATAAATAACATTGCAAACCCCAGCAAAATGGCATTTTTAATATCCACCAGGCACTTTTTTTTTTCCCCCCCTACCATCGCCTCTTAAAAATAAGTAAT